GCGGGCCATTAATGTTTCTTAAGGGCTATGTCCCCATTTTATTAATTCACCCACGATTTAAAAATTTGGACGAGCCAGTTGATCGCAGTTATCAACGCATTATCAAAGTTTTTGTCTGGTCTTTTAAATTTAGGGGTATTTGGGTTATCAGAGGCTAATTCTTGTGCCAGGCCAGGTTTTAGAAAAATCACGCCAAGTTTAAGAAGCTCCATTATACGGGTTGGCTCTTTCGAATTATTGGTTCAGGCTAAAAAGATGAGCAGTCTGAAACTATTTTATTATATTTTTTATGGGCAAGAGATACGCGCACAGTGCAGCCCTTTCTGTGCAAAAATATTTTTCAGTTTCTCTGGCCCTAATAAGGCTCAAGGAGCCTGCATAAGGCAGCGTGCTTTTCAATGTGAAATTCCCTCTTGTTCTTACTGTCCCAGCACTGCAGCTCAGCGGGTAGAAAACTGTGGAACGAGGGAATTCCGTCCTACTAACACTAAGTCGGGAGACTTGGAAAAACTTCTGAGCCCCTCCTTTTAGTCAGATAAATATTTTTCTGATAACCAATTGTTCATTCTGACTTGAAAATATAGCAAAATGATGGGCAAACTTTTTTTTACTTTCCATAGTAAACGGTGGTTTCTTCAGATTACTTGTTTTGTTTGACCAATGGCACAAATCAGTTTACTGTCAAGTACAACAAACAGGGAAGCTTATCATATTTAAGTAAATAGACCTAGTTTTTTCATGTAGATGTTTATCCTTGATTATTGCAGTTGTGTCCAGAGATCGGGTTGTCGGGGCCCCTGCCTTCGACTGCTGCCCAATCCACTGTGCACCGGCCCCTTACGGATCCTCCTGCAGGTGGTGGGCCCACAGGAGGACATCCCCACGTCGCTCGTTCGGGCTAAGCCCGGCCGGGCCCTGTGAGGGGAGGCCCGGCCACCAGGCGCTCAGATTCCAGCCCCGACCCCGGGCCTGGCTCCAGGGTGGGGCCCCGGTTGCGCTATGCCAGGCGACGTCACGGTCCTTGATTTGATTCTATTCATAAAAGGCTTTTGAACCATTCTTAGTCTGACCTGTCACGCAAGACCTGTTTGCTTTGGGAGACCCTACCAGGGGCATATAGCCCCCCCGACAACATAGCTCCTAGGATCACTCGGGTACTCCAACCCCTCCACCACACTAAGGTGGCGGTTCAAGGAGGGGGAACAATAACATGACCAGGATAAAATAGTCTGAAATTGATTTGCGACATTTTGTTAATGTCTGTCCTCAATTCTTTATTCATAACATTTTTTTTTGCCTTCTTCAGGGTGTCATCTCAGATGAGTTTATAATTAATCATATGACCTATATCACAGTACATACTATGTGTACAACATACAGTGTTTACTCCTAATGGAAAGAAAAATGTATGATAAATATACAGTACATGACAAATCTAAGATTCCATCCCAGGTGTCAGTACAGTTTTAGATGCATAGCACATTCTGGTTGATGCCAAAAGAGAGTGGTAGGGCTTTCATCTCTTTATTTGTCAAGAGATGAGTGTTTGCAGTGTAAATTCAGTCTATTCAGAACAAAATGTAAAATATATCTTTGTGTCAACATGCTCACATACTAGTTATTATGACCGACTGCACTCAACATGGTGATGTTTCATTCAGAGCTGTTGAATAGCTGTTTAGTGGATATCTCCACTAAACAGTAACAGGGCCACCATATGTTCTAACAGTCACCCACAAAACATGCCTTTTAAATATGAACATTGTTACAGGACGTGCTTCTGAATATTCACTGTCTCAAATTGTTGTGTTGCATAGTTAAATATTTTAAATACTGTGAGCTCAGAGATGAGTCGAACTTTGAAGCACTCCCTCATATTCACATTATGTTTGGGGGAAAAACACAACAGCATTTCATATGGCACATATCATTATGTTGTTACCAAGGCTTTTCTCTTCTGTTATTGTTTTGCTGTGTGAAATAATGTTTGTTTTGTTGCTGTAATAACAGATGAAGAACACACATTCTGACCAAGGCAGATATTATTTGATGCATTGTGTCCTGTTGCTACTGACCTGGACTTTTGAACACACATGCAAACACTGTTCACTTGAACTTGTTACCTGGGAACTGCTGCCTACCTTCCCCTGTTGTAACCCTTGGATCTTAACACTTCTTTGGCATTGTACACTGTGGCCACACTCTAGCAACTACATGCAAAGTAACCCCACCTATCACAATGGTATTTGCATACTGCTTGTTCACTACCTTTTGGCCCTTCATACACTGCCTGTTCAGGGAAAGATTTTGCCACTATACCATTCTGTATAAAAAGTACAAATGGGGCTGTTGTTGATCCCTGCATGTCTTGTTTGGTTTAGTCTAAAGCAAAGCCATCATAATGGTCAGTCAGCATAATTTCTGTTCACAAGAGGTAAGATGTGTCTGTAGCTAACAGTACTACAGTCTCATGCAAAAGTTTAGGCACCCCTTGATAAATAACAGATTTTGGTGATTTTTTATTTGAACAGATGTTAACACAGTTTCTCTTGGAAATGGAAAAAATGCACAATATTTTCTGCAAACAGTGATGCATAGTTACTTCTTATGCCATAAATTGAACAAAAATAAAAAATAAAAACATTATTATGGCATGGTGCAAAAGTTTGGGCACCCTACACAATCAGTACTTAGTAACACCTCCTCTGGCAGATATCACAGCTTGCAAACGCTTTTCATAGCCAGCTAAAAGTCTTTCAATTCTTGTACTTGGGATCTTCTCCCATTCTTCCTTGCAAAAGGCTTCTAGTTCTGTAATATTCTTTGGTCGTCTTGCATGCACAGCTCTTTTAAGATCTACCCACAAATTTTCAATGATGTTTAAATCAGGGGACTGTGATGGCCATTCCAAAACCTTCAGCCTGCGTCTCTTGAGGTATTCCATAGTGGATTTCGAGGTATGTTTAGGATCATTGTCCTGTTGTAGAAGCCATCCTCTTTTCAGCTTCAGCTTTTTTACAGATGGTGTGATGTTTGCTTCCAGAATTTGCTGGTATTTAGTGGAATCCATTCTTCCCTCCACCCGTGCAATGTTTCCTGTGCCACTGGCTGCAACACAACCCCAGAGCATGATAGATCCACCCCCATGCTTAATAGTTGGCAAGGTGTTCTTTTCATGAAATGCTGCTCCTTTTTTTCTCCAAACATGCCTTTGCTGATTGTGTCCAAAGAGTTCTATTTTAACTTCATCAGTCCACAGCACTTGTTTCCAAAACGCATCGGGCTTCTGTAGATGTCCTGTTGCATACTTCAGACGTTGGATTTTATGATGGGGACGCAGATAAGGTTTTCTTCTGCTGACTCTTCCATGAAGGCCTTGTCTGTGCAAGCATCGCTGCACAGTGGAACGGTGCACCACCACTCCTGAGTCTGCTAAATCTTCCTGCAGGTTTTTTGCAGTCAAATGGGGGTTTTGATTTGTCTTTCTGACCAGCATACGAGCAGTTCTGTCCGAGAGTTTTCTTGGTCTTCCAGATCTCATCTTGACCTCCACAGTTCCCCTGATCTGCCATCTCTTAATTACATTTCTTACTGTGGAAACTGCAAGCTGACAACGCTTTGCTATCTTCTTGTAGCCTTCTCCTGCATTGTGGGCGTCAATAACTTTCATTTTCAGGGTCTTACACAGCTGCTTAGAGGAACCCATGGTTGCTGGGTGTCCACAAGTGTGTGCACAAGGTTTGAAGAGTCAAAGTATTTGTACAGCTTTGAAATTGGCATTTACCAATGACAGCTGTTGCTGTGCATCAGATCTAACGAGCTGATTAAGGTCTGATACCTTGTGAGAGACTTTGAGACTCTGGAACTCTTAGGGTGCCCAAACTTTTGCACCATGCCATAATAATGTTTTTATTTTTTATTTTTGTTCAATTTATGGCATAAGAAGTAACTATGCATCACTGTTTGCTGAAAATATTGTGCATTTTTTCCATTTCCAAGAGAAACTGTGTTAACATCTGTTCAAATAAAAAATCACCAAAATCTGTTATTTATCAAGGGGTGCCTAAACTTTTGCATGAGACTGTATATACCGGTATACCATTAAAGCTGCCACTACAGCAGATGTCTAAACAGGATGGATTTCTACAAAGTGACCAAAGTTCCCTTGAGCGGTCATTAAGGTTTCTTCTGATATTTGCCCACAGATCATGTGTCGCTGTACCACCGCTCTAGAGAACTCTGTCAAAGAAAAAATCTCCATGTTCTGCCATGTAGAACCTGAACAGGTACATCACATTTATTGTGTCATCTTTGAGCCCCAACTGTCAGCAGTTCAAAACCCATTGACCTGTCTTGTTCCAGGTCATCTGTGTGCACGACGTATCGTCCATCTACAGAGTACCGTTATTGCTGGAGGACCAGGGTGTGGTGAGCTACCTGAGCAGGAGACTGAACATGCCCATAGAGACCCACCCCAGGAAAATGCTGATGAAATGGAAGGAGATGTCTGACAGGTGAGTCAGCAGAAAAAGTCCAAAATGAGTAAATTGGTAAATCACCAGTGAATTAAATGGGACTGGAACTTGCTGTTCTGCAGCCCTGTGTGATTTGTTGCCTTTTACTCCAGAATAGGTCTCGTTTCCAGTGGTGTACTAATCTACATGCTGTCCTCACAGGTCAGACAGACTACTCGAGCAATGCTCTATAGCGCTGGTCGGGAAGTACACCAAGTTCTCTGACTCCTATGCTTCTGTTATCAAGGCACTGGAGCACTCAGCCCTGGCCATTAGTCATAAATTGGAGGTTAAGGTACGTACACAATGTTGTTTAGCCACACTGATCATGATCATGTGTATTAGTGCCTTAATTATGTAGACTTGAAAATTGTGAGTTACACTAACAGTATGCACCGTGTTGTATGAGGATCTCCCATCATACAGAGCCTTTGGTGAGGCAAACCCCATGGCACCATTAAAAGGATGCCAAATTAGCTATTTGCAGTCCTTTCAAAATGTACTCATGGACATACAGACAACTCCCACTGGATTAATTTGATACTGAAGTAAACTTAAGAACATGATGACTCTCAGGCAAGTTCAGGAATTAAAAGCATCTTTTTTCAGCGAGTCCTAAGCAGAATTAGGGATGTTATTTTACAGTTGCTATCAGAGAAATCTTCAAAAAGTGTACATCACACTAAATCTAAAGGATATCTTTTACATGTCTGTGCGTTCAGATTTGACTGAGTTAGGATTCTGAGGAGTATAAATGTTAACAGAAATCACAGTAATTGGGAACTTTTTGAAGCATCTGAATCCTCTCCACAGAGGACCTTTGCTTCTCTTCTCTCGGTCAGTGCCCACCTACAGTTCTTAAGTGGCTTCAGCTTGAAACTCTTATCCATTTTTGAGTTCATAAATTATAATTGGAGCCATTTTATGAAACTATCAGATGATTGTGGTCCCAATCTATAATGTTTAATAAATCCAGTAATTCTGACATTAAAACAAAAAAAGGTGAAAAATGTAGAATGTTGCCTGGTGCTCCATACACCTGACATTTGGCTGCAGAAATGTTCTATGTTCAGGCTAAAATAAAATATGAAGTTGCTCTTTAAAGAGGACCTAGACCCTAGCCATAAATCCTGCCTGTGCCGCCATCTAGCAG